TCTATAATAATTTTTATCTCGGTATTAAATATCTAAAATATCCAAAATATCCGTTACTTTACACCTTACTGCTGCCTTTGCCGTTATCACTTCATAGAAAATTAATTACTGCACTTTTAAACGATTGCGAGAATAGACATAGAACTATAAATTTTATTAAATGTTTGAGTAACTTGTGCGAGCTGAATTTCTTACGATGTTCTTAGTCTCGCAACATACTGAATTCTTAAAATTCTAAATTTAAACATATAATATAAAAATTATTATACCGCTGTCTGGAAGGGATGGCAAATTATAAATATACAGACTAATACATACAGAATTTGAAATTTTTCTATAATCCGTAATATTGAGAAAGTTTGCATTAGACCGAAAAAAGGAAGCGTATTTACCTAAGCTATGGAAATATATATGGAAAAATTATGATATGCACATGCATCCTGTGCTCACTTAAACTAAACAATGATCATAATATATTTAACGAATTTTCAACAGTATTTACAAATTACATTCAAATCACCCAAAGCAAGTGGGTTAAAGTCGTGTAATTTTTTAATTTGCCTCCCCCCTCTAAATTTAAAAATGGATTTTTCTGTGGGGCGTGCGCCCCACGTTGCGGATTACTAGTCTAGGAGTACAATTTTTTAATCTACTACCAGGTTAAAATAATTGAGTGATCATCAATTCCACAGCACCTTCAACAGATTTTTAAAAGATCAAAGTTTCTATGAATATGCATACAAATCTCAAATTGTAGGCCGAAATTGAGACAATAAGTCTATTGAAATATCAGGGTAACTCTTTTGCTATAAATTGTCAACTAATTTACCAATAAATAAATGTCAATAAAATAATGATTAAAAAAAATTACCAATAAATGTTGGATTGTAAAAATTTACAAGCGATCGAACGGCTTATATTTTTGCCTTAGATGGCAAAAAATTCATCCAATTATTAAAATATTACCTTTTTTGCAGTTCTTATGCTTTTGTATTTATAGAATTGCTTTTTTTAGCTATAATCAATTACCATTATATGAATGTCTTAAATTATTTATTTTATACGACTAACGCCCGCTATGTCCGCAACAAGTTCAACTTATATCCGAAATAATCGGGCATCAGACACTTTTCGGTCTTAAAGTAACATATGTGAAATTTGAAATACACTTATGTATTGTATTTAATATTTCAGTTCATACACCTCAATTTGTAACTAAATTAAAAACGACTTTGATAAAACCAGTGGTGTTGTGCTATATTTTTTTTTGCCGGAACGCTAAAATTTAAAAACTGGTTCATAAACCAGTTCAAAAACCGGTTTTCATGTTTTTTCCGGTTCCGTTCGAAAAGGAAAGAAACAAAAATTATTACAAAACCCATTTTGTGCACATATATGTATATTACAATAACAAGAACATTTAATAAAAATTAGTTGAATTGAAAATTGAAATTAGTTGAACTTATAAAATTTACTTATTAAATCATTTTCTGTATGTAGTGATTTTTTTATATTTTTTCTTGCCGGAACGCGTTCCGTCCCAAAAATGATTTGCCGGAACAAAGTTCCGGCGCGTTCCGGCTCGACAACACCACTGATTATATACGTTTACAGGATTTGTGTAATATTTATAAGAATTATATAAACTGAATTGCACAGTTAAAATTAATTATTTGAAGTATATAAGTGAAATTTAGCTAGAATTAGAATTAATATCCAAATTATTTTCGATATACATTAAAAATGTTTGGAAATAAAAAAAAAAAAAATCTTTTCCCAAAAGCAAATGTTTCGCCAACACAAGCTAAAGTTTTTTGAATCATTTAAAAGCCCAAAATCGTGGACAAAAAAAATTGTCCATACATACCCACATGCACATCCATTTTTCTGAAGGTATGCCAAAATATTCAGACACCTTTGAAACGTAAAAATATAAAGAAAATTTCATTTTCGTTTTGTTTGCGATTACTATAACTTGCCCTACGGGAAGTTAAAAATGTAATATTGTATTTCTGATTCTTTACTTTAAATTAATTACACTGTTGACTCTACAATCTTTCTTCTATATCCTTTATAAATTTAATATATTCATCCGATTACAAGGTATCACAATTGAAGAGAATCATTTCTCCTTCGAGTTCTCTCCAGATTGAAAGCAGTTGTAGATGAAATAAATCTAAGAGGCGAAGAAGAAGACGCTACAATTGTAGCAGTAATAGTAGTATACATACTATAATACTATAGGTGCAGCAGTTAAAGCTTACGACTTTTTGAAGGTGAATCCGGAATCTGCGCTTTTTAAGCGAATGAAAGACTTCAGGGAGCAAATACCATACTTTGTATTAGATAGATAGATAGATGGATGGGTGGATGGATGGATGGATGGATGGATGAATGCTGAGTTTCGACGTTAACATAGAATCAGAGCTATGGTGTGTAAATATAAAGCACGGTTTAAGGGTGAATTAAATCTCTCGAAGAGATTTAAATGTTTGCAAGCTAAAAATATATTTTACTATTATTGATTTTTTTAGAATTTTTTTCTATATAGTAAATAAAAGTAAAAACTCTTTTTCATTTATATAAAAATATCTATATGTAAAATTGAATATGTGTCAATATAGTTAAAAAACTATATTGTGTAATTATTTGGTGTATAGAGGGTAAGTTATGGTAATCGCAACAAAATAGCAAATGAAAATTTTTATACATTTAAATTTTATACATTTTGGCATACTTTAAAAAAAATGGATGTGTGTGTGCGGATACAAATTCTTTTCGATGATTTCGTGAATAAGAATTAAACGATTTATAATTAAAAAAAACATTCGTATTGATAAGAAGACGCGCTGATTAGTTTTTGCCAAAGGCAGGTCCAGCCGTTTTGGAGTAACGGGGTAAATGGTAATTCAGTTTCTGAGATAACTGAGTGCCTAATTTGAATAATTTAAAGAACATTTTATTTGTATTGCCGAAATGAAAAACTAATTAAACTTTTGGTAAGGCAGGTCTAGCAGTTTCGGAGATGCAGAAGAAAAAGTAAAAAAAAAAATGATATTTGGCGTTCAAAAATTATCATTAGACATATGCACATCAAATTACCACATATTTTATAGGGCTCTTAATAATAAGTGCAAATTTTGTTTACATTTCTATGGGTTCTGTACCCATGTTTATGCGACGCGACGCTTACGCGCTTCGATATTTCATCTCTAAATAGCGATTGGTTTGAAAAGAAGTTCAATTTTCAAAATTTTCAAAATTTTCAATATATAAAAAAATCCAAATTATTCAAAAAAGTCACTATTTTTCAAATATTTCTAAAATTTCAAAAATAAATTTTTTTTCAGAGTTTTAAAAAAAGTGTAAACCATTAAAAAAAAAAAAAATCAGTAAGAAAAGTTTCAGTCATTTGCCTTGAGGCACGATGCCATGCACCACTAGTTTTTTATATTATTATTAAAACTATATGTTTGCTCAACCCTATAATTTTTATTAATTTCTAGACCAATTTTTGTGTTCTACTTTCTATAATAGTTGAATAAAAACGCATACGACCCGAAATTTTCATCTTCTCAAGATATGCCAAATTTTGTACAAACTATTATTAGTGGAAAAGGCTCAAAAGATCCGCGGGTAAAAAGGTTTGCAATCAATACTTATTTTTAATGTTTATTTGTTGACTTTGTGTACACGTACATTAGTCATATACATTTTATAAGTTATCATTACAATGCTATTTATTTTATTTATCAATGGTGAGTACGTAAAGTTAGGGAATTTTTAACAACAATATCTGAACAAAGTTAAATAAGCAACCATTGCCCTAAATCAAACATCGTTGTAGTCAAAAATCAAATAAACGTATTTGAAAATCTTTAACAAAATTATTTTCTTTTGTTGTTAGTTTTCTTGGTTGTGAGCACTGTTGTTTAGTTTACAAGACTTTACTATATTTTTTATGTATACGTTATTTAATTGTTTCATAAGATGACATATTATTTTAAAGTTCGATTCAACAGGTGTTTTCATATAACTTCCATAAAAGCTAATATGTGGGTGAGGTAAATAGGATCAACTGATCTTTTACCGTGGCAGTAGAGCAAACAATAAAAATAGTAAATAAAAACGTAAATTAAGTTAAAAAGGCTATTTACAAAGATATAAATCAAAAAATTGTTATTCCAATATCGCTGATCATTTTTTTTTGACAAAATTATAGACAGTGTTATCTTTTCAAAAATATGCCCACAAAATTCACATTTTGCATTGGTTTAATAATGTAGTCAAGGGATTTATTCTCGACGTGGATTTGTTACATTTTAAACCATGCTAAAAGTACACAGAGTATTTTATTACCATGGCGTCAGCAAAACGCATTTAGTATGAGATTGATAGGTCATTTATTTAAATACCTTCCGGATTGTATTTTTCGATTCAATATTAGAGTATTAATACGTAACGTGGATCGTCTACCGTATGCTTTTTATTTCATTCCATATCAAACTAAAAAAATAGTTGAAATAAAATATTGATTCATGCTTATTTATGCATGTTTCATTCAGGAGGTGATTAAAAATTTGTGAACTAGTTGTATTATTTAAATTTTATTTTATTGTATTAGAAACTGGCCCATAGATCTACTCGAGTAAATTTATTTTCTTTAAGTGGTTACTAAATGGAGTGATCCTGATACTATAATTTTATTATTATTATTATTTATATTTTTATATTTTTATTATTATTTGTATTACTATTATTATTTTTATTATTATTATTATTATTATTATTATTATTATCATTATCATTCTCATTATTATTCCTATTATTATTACTGCTATCATTATTATTATCAATATTATTTATATTATTATATCATTTATTATATACATATATATATTTTGTTGTTAAACCATAGCAAAATAGCTTATAAAATTCTATGTAATTTTGATTGCTGTTTCCCGAAATAAAACAATAAGCAATTAGGTATTACAACTTACCTCGCACAATTCTTCCACGTGTGTATCAAAATATGTGCAAAATGATGGAAATAGTAATTCAAATGTATTACGAAGTAAACTGTTTAACATGATAACACTAAAACACTATTAAATTACAAAAATGACGATTACGAAAAACTAAAAACGCGTCCCGAAAATAATTACACTTAAAGGGAGTTAAGGTCGTGTCACCTCTTAGACGGCGTTTGCAGAACTAAATCACACCTGCATTAAACTATTGAAATTATTTTACGATTTTGCACGAATTTTATCGATTTGGCACGATTGTTAAAATTTGGGTACGTAATACAATATTTTTCAAGGGCACGAGCTCATAATATATTTTATAATGTACATTTACGAAGTCTTGTTGAATTGTACCAATTTGTTTAGGCCATGGCTTCTTAAATTATGAGCCGCGAATGTTTTTAATGTCAAAAATATAATATATATCCTATTGTAACGACTTCTAAAACTATATATTGACATATGTATATAAGTATGTTGTTTTCTAATAAACGAATCATCTAAAAATAATAATTAACTAGTGGTGTGTATGGCATCGTGCCTTAAGGCAAATTGCTGGAACTTCCATTACCGTAACGAAATGTTCGAGGAATATTGAATGTTTTCAAATAAATTATTATAAATATTGTAACATTGTCTAATATTTATAAGAATTATGTTGCAAAGTTGAAATTATTTGTTTAAAGTATATTAGAACTTCAGCCAGAATCACAATTAAAATCTGAGTTATTTTCGATATACTTTTTTGAAAAAAAAAAAATTTTTTTTTGAAAATAAATTAAAACAAATTTTTTTCTCCAATAGCAACTGTTTTGTTAAAACAAGCAGAAAGTTCTTTGAATCATTCAAATCGGACGCTTAGTTCTCTAAAAACTGCCATTATTTGGTCAATACGAATTGAATGTATTTTGGATCATTCAAATCCGATGCTCCAATCTCTCAAAAACTCAATTTCTATTTTTTGCATTATTTGCTCCGTATCTCCGGAACGGCTGGACCTGCCTTTGCCAAAAACTAATCAGCACTTCTCCCTATCAATAGGAATCGAATATTTTTGAACCGTTCAAATCGGTTGATCCGTGCGCCCGAAAATGTGGACGAAAAATTGTATCCATACATACACACACACACACATAATTTTTTGCTAAGGTATGCCAAAATGTTCAGAAATCTTCAAAACGTGAAAAAATGTAAAAATTTTCAATTTCGATTTTTGGACGATTACAATAACTTACCCTACGGAAAGTTAATATTATGTAAAATATTAACTAACTAGTTGGTATTGACATTTTACTTTGAAGCGAGTTACGTGAACTTCCCGATATGTGTAATTAATCGACTTAATCAATAAAAAATAAATTAATTTATGAGTGATTCAAAGTATTCCGGGTGGATTTATCACACATAATTCAAAGCGAACGAACATGTTAACTCTGAGTATTTTCTGAAAGCAAATTTTCAAAAATCAATAATTTTCATAATTGAACCAGTTTCCGTAGGACTTCAATGGTTTAGTATATTCATTAAGACTAAAAACTCTATCGTTATGCTAAGTGAATCCTCTGATTTTAATTTTAACAAACGCCAAAAAAACTACTCATTTTCTCAAACTTTGATGAATTTTCAAAATTAAACTACTTGCCGTAGGGCGTAATATTTCAGTAAATTCTATAAGACCATGATATATATCGCCAAAAAAGTTCCATAAAAAACGGCTTATTTTTTTTTTTTCAACAGTTAATTAAAAAAAACGGCTCGGTAGAGTTTCATCTAAAACTAATCAAAACTTGCAAGAAATTAAAATAAAATTTAAAATCTCCGCTTCTGAAAAAAAATCTGAGTTTTCAAAATATCTAATTTTTCTAAAAGTATCATAAATTTTAAAAAATTTCAATGCTTTCGAAAAATTTCATATATCGATTTTTTCAATAATTTTCAAATTTTTCAAAAAATGAGATTCTAAAAATATTAATTTAAAGTACGGAAAGTTTCAGCAATTTGCTTTAAGGTACGATGCCATGCATTCTAGTTCACTTTTTTTATTAGATCTCTGATGCTGCTAAACCTACCCTTTCAAAAATGTTATCATTTCTTCATTTTGTCAATACAAAGTAAAATGTTTGAATTATTAAAATCGGACGATCCGTGCTCTCAAAAAAATTTAATTACCATTTTTGTCAGTTTTTGCCCCATATTTTCGAAATGGCCTGACTAGCCGTTGCCAAATACTAATAGGCACGCCTCCTTATCTACACAAATCGAATGTTTTTTTTAAAACGGTTGATCCGTATTACCGAGATCGTCGATGAAAATTTATATCCAAAATGTATGCCAAAATATTCAGAAATCGTTGAAACGCGAAGATATATAAAATTTTTCATCTTCGATTTTTTTGCGATTGCTGTAACTTGCCCTACGGAAAGTCGATTTATTAAATTCATACTAAAAAAATTCAGTGCTGATTTATTAAAGTCATAATAAATGTGAAATTTAACAAACAAACTCACACACTTTTTTCAAATTTGGTCTCATTCGATTCAGAAAGGCTCGAAACGTCGAGAAAACATAAAATTAGCAAATCCGATGGAAAGTTAGGAAAAGTTAATAAATAGTTATCAAACTCTGACGATAAATTCTCCAACAAAGGTTGTATGCAATTTGGTGTACATCTCTCGGTCTGCTCCTCTCGGTCTACTATCATCGTCGCTGGCTCTCGGTCTAATATCTTTCAAAATTCATATCGCCGACATTCATCGGGCTGCTGGTGCAGAGCTTTAGGAATAGTGTTCTCCCCAGTAGTCGTAGTAGGTCGCAGTGGCAGTTTCCGCTGTTGCGATGTATTATGTAATTTGTTTAACTGCGGTTACATAGTTACATCACGTTTTGTAAATTCAAGTCCTGCGTGCACGGTTTGTCGTACAATTCGCCAGTCTCGCTCCCAGTGGAAGAACATGAGAACATTCATATTTTCTAGGCAAAAGGCAACAAGCATCGTTATATACGATATATGTATTATGACTCGCTCAAACAAGATTTATGAATGTTGTGAAATGTCAATTTTTAAGGATACTTATGATTTATGTAATTCAATTGATTTTGTGTTTTTTTTAAATTACCAGTTGGAATTAATAATAGTGCTGAAGATGTTTAAGAGAATGCATGTTTCATATCAAAACTTCATAACTGGGCTTGATTTATTACTCTTTTTTAAATTCCTGGAGAAGTTTTCAGCAAAAAATACGATTTGCCAATTTTATGTTTTCTCAACGTTTCAACCCATTCTGAATCGTATGAGACCAAATTTGGAAAAAGTATGTGTGTGTGTTTGTGTGTACATTTGTGTGAAAACAATTTTTTTTCTCAAAAACGGCTAGACCAATTTCAAAAATTTAAAAGCCATTCGATGTAACTCGATCAGAACTATCGTTTATCAGTTTTGCACGACAATCAGCCAAACCGAAACGGCAATAGCAAAAAGGTGAGAAAAGGTTGTCCACGTTTTTCCTACAATCTTAGATTGATTTTGAAAGATATTGGTTGGGACCTGATTAGTTTTTGATAAAGATTTGCTGGCACAAATTCTTGTAATAAACTGTTGCATTTTTTTCAACGATTTAGATGATTTTTTTTGACGAGAGATATCATGGTCTTCTCGATCATACTAAAATATCATGGCCCTATGACAAGACGTTCAATTTCAAAAAATAGTCAAAGTTTGCAAAGAGGTGACATTTTTTTCGGGTTTGACCTACCATCGATAAAATTTAATTTTTCTCAAGAACGCCTGAACCAATTTCAAAAATTCAAAAGCCATTCGAAGAAGGCCGATGAGAATTATCGTTTCTCAGTTTCGTGGACGATCGGCCAAGCCGTTTCTTAGTAATTAAAAGAATAGTTTTGAAAAATTGGCAAAAATTCTGAATCGATTTTAAACATTCGAAAACTCCCCGAATCCCGAAATATATTATTTGGGAATGCTGCTGATTAGTTTTTGATCAAGATCGGCAAAGGTGTTTCTTCGTAATTAACTGTAAAAAAATGATAAGATATTACAGCCCTACGACAACTCGTTTTAGTTAAATAAATTTAATATGGCGATACTGTTTATGCACTAAACAGCTCTACAGAAACTGGTTCAAATATATAAATTAATTAAAATTTGGAATAATAATGTGCAATTTTAGGACGTACAAACAAGAACGTGTCTGTGCACTACAATTATTATAATTACAGATAATTTAAATGTGTTTTAGAGATATCAAATGTAAATGTTTTGATTTGAGCGAAAGAGAATTGTTTATTCTGGAAATTAACAATTAGAACTTTTATCTAAATATCTAAATCTAAATTTCGTTTGACTATGTCAGTTATTAGGTTGGGAAAAAAGAAATCCAATATTTTTTCGGTAGATTGCTGTACTGAAGATTTCTCGTAAAGTATCGATCAAGCAATTTCAGATTTATGCTCGTTGAAAGTGACATTTTGCAGTAAAAAAATTGTGCTGTTTTTGGTGTTAAAAATGTAAGTGTACAAAGAGAATTTTCGGTACGTTATACAGTTTTTATTTGAAACTAGTTGGTATTAGTATTTTACCTCGAGGCAAGTTACATAAACTTGCCGATATGTGATAATAATCGAATTAATCAATCAAATATAAATTAATTAATGACTGATTGAAAGTATTCCGAGTTGATTTATTACACATAATTGAAAACGAACGAACACTCTATACCAAGTAAATCATCTAATTTTCATTTTAACAAACGTCAAAAAACTACTCATTTTCTCAAACTTTGATGAATTTTTAAAATTAAAGTACTTGTCGTAAGACCGTAAATTTTCAGTAAGTTCTATAAGACCATGATATATATCATCAAAAAAAGTTCCATAAAAATCGGATTAAATTTTTTTTTCAACAGTTAATTACAAGAAAACGGCTCGGTAGATTTTCACTAAAAACTAATCAGTATTATTCCCAACTAATATCTTTCGAACAGTTTCTGATTTTTTAAAATCGATTCGGTAGTATGAGCTTAAATGTGGACAAAAAGTTTAACACTTTTTTCCAAATTATAAAGAAACGGCTCGGCAGATCGTCGCACAAAACTGAGAAAAGATAATATACATCAAAATACATCGATTGACTTTTAAATTTTTGAAATCGGCCTAGCC